AAAAAAGAAAAAGATCAAAGTTGATCAAGCCACACCCCAGAGAAAGTCCCATGTACCCATCACATATCATACTTCTCCTCCGCACCCACTTCCACCCCTGTTTATAGACTCTTCTTCCCATCCTGGAGAACCTGTACCTCCATTTCATTTTACTTATGCGAATAGTTACCTGGATCTTCTCTTAGTTTTACCACCTTTGTATGGATCTCTAAATATTGCACTACAACTCAAAGCTCAACCCACTGCTATCCAGTCGACTGAACCCTGACTCTTAGTGAACCCGCCACCCGGCTTCCTCCCTGCAGGGTTTCAGAGACTTAACTATTACTGTTCCAGGGAGAAAACAGCCCAGTTGTTCTCCTGCCGAGCTGCTGGTGATTGCAAACTGCTGACCAGGGGGTTAGCTGCCCGCATGTAAGCACTACCCCACCAGGGTTCCTGCCAATATTACATTAAGTTCTCCTTTTTATTTTTTGAGTTTATATAAATGGCCTCATTTCTTTTTCATATCGCAGATGGTTTTGCTTGTTTAAAACTAACAATCTTTCTCTATTGCCTGTGTCCTTTAGTTCAGTGGTTCTCAGCCTTCCTGATGCCGCGACCCCCGCCCCCCCAACCATAACATGATTCTCATTGCTACTTCATCACTGTCATTTTGCAACTGTTCTGAAATGGGCGACCCCTATGAAAGGGGTCCTTCGACCCCCAAAGGGCTCGCGACCCACAGGTTGAGAACCACTGCTTAGTTGGTTTCTATAACTACTAGGTGGTATTCCTAAGGATCGATGCCTTGGAATTAGGGTGCTGGCGGAGAATGTTGAAAGTACCACGGACCACCAAAAGAGCAAACACATCCGTCCTGGCAGAAGTACCGTCAGAAGGCTCCTGAGCATCAAGGAGGGCGAGACTGCGTCTCGGACTTTGGACGTGATGTCAGGAGAGGCCGGTGCCTGGAAAAGGCGCCCACACTTAGGAAAGTAGAGGGGCGGACCCTCAGGGAGGGGGATGGACACAGTGGCCGCAGCAAAGGACCCAGACGTAATAGCAATTGTGAGGATGGCACAGGACTGGGCGGGCTTTCCTGGTGGTGCACGGGTCACTGTGAGCTGGCACGGACCTGATGCCACCTAACCCCAATTGTGGCATCAAGAGAGGGACCAGTCTTTGGAAAAGGGCATCCTGCTTGGTAGAGGGGCAGCCACAGACAGCAAGACCCTTGAGGAGACAGATTGACTCAGTGGCTGCCCCCATGGACACAAACTTGGCCTGAGTCGTGAGGGCGGCACTGGGCTGGGTAGTTTTCTAGTGATGTGGTGTTCCGAGGGTCCCTATAGGTCAGGACCCACTCGATGGCCTCTCACAGTCACTACCTCGAAGAGAGTGTGACGAAGTGGGTAAGTGACGTGTCTCAGTTCATAATACTAATGATAAGTCAATCTCAGGAATAATACCGCACATTGACTCAAGGAGGGCAGGCCCCGTGCCAAGTGCCTTGCCGTCACTTCCCGACCTTTGTGCCCTCCTTTTGCTCTGCCAGGAGTGCCCTGCCCATCGCCCC